TCGGTGGAGCTGTGAGGGTTGTGCCGAAATGGTGGACATGCGGAGAGCAGAGGCAAGGCATGGGAGGAGAAGGAGGAGGAGGCGGAGAAGGAGGAGGAAGAGGAGGAGGAGGATGAGGAGGAGGAGGAGGAGGGGAAAGAAGGAGAGGAGGAGGAGGAGGAGGAGGAGGAGGAGGAGGAGGAGGGAAAGGAGAGGAAAGGAGGAAGAGGAGGAGGAGGAGGGAAAGGAGGAGGAGGAGGGGCGGAGGAGGAGGAGGAGGAGGAGGAGGAGGAGCAGGAGGAGGAGGAGGAGGAGGAGGAGGAGGAGGAGGAGGAATGGGAACCCAGGGCGCTGTTTCTTCAAAGCTAGGGCCCAACACCACAGGATGGCTGGGGGAAAGAGAGAGATAGAGAGAGAAAGAGAGAAAGAGAGAAAGAGAGAGAGAGAGAGAGAGCGCAACAGGTCGTTAAGGCCTGGCGGGGCGTAGCCGCCGCTCTGGCCAACCTCGCATTGGCGGGAGGTGCCGCAAGACGAACATGGGTGGGGAACAAAAACCCTCCCCCTGGCGCGCGGACTGAGGGGTCCTTTGCTTCCACCATGCCCGCGAGTGCGTTTCTCCGTGCCGGCTTGACCTTCTTTGTGGAGAGACCAGTATTTGATGCGAAGGCGAGGTCAGGGCAGAAGGTATAGGGTTTAGGGTCTACAAGCTCTCCCGCAGCTGAGCACCTCCTGCCTAGGAGCCGACCTGCGGTGGCTGCCAGTCCCACCCGCAAGCCACCCTACCATAAAGAACTTCCGGGGACCTAAACAGTACTTCCTTGTCAAGGAGAGTCTCGTAGGTGTATGAACGTCAGGAACAAGTATTTGTTTTGCAAAGGGTGGCGAGGGTGTACAGCACGCATGATCAGGACATCGTATATTTCACAAAAGGATGGCGAGGGTTTACAGCACGCATGATCAGGAAACCTTTTTTGTTGCAAGGGATGTCGCCGGTTTACATCCAGGGCTGCCAGGAAATAGTATTTGTTGCGATGGATTATGCACGCAGGAGTTCGGATGGGAATCAGGAGGCATGGAGCCAGAATGTTCAGGGTTTAATAATCATAAGATTGAGGATTTAGGGTTTAGGGCCTGCATTGGCGCAAGCGCGCTGGCTGCGACCCTCCCCCACATCGAGGTTGTTGGGGGGGATCGCTGCCCAAACCGCGCGCGCCACGGTCAGTCACACTCCCGCCCCAGACCGCCCAGAGTGAAGCCTTTTAGGGTTTAGGGTTTCTCCCCCCAACCCCCTATCACGGAGGGCTGTCGAAGTGGCGCGCGCGGGCGGTCGCCGACGCGACCGTGGCGTTGCGCGTCCGCGTGAGCATGCGCGCAGGGCGCGTGGCGTAGGCGCGTCAGCTCGCCCCGTCGAAGAGGCAGCCGTTGGCGATTTCGGCGTTGAGCTTCGCCGTTGGGCTGCCGCTGGCGCAGCATGTCCATGTGTTGCCGCCTTTGCCTTCGGCGCTGGGTTGGGACACTGGGCTGCGAATGCTGGGAAGCGCGCGCGGCCGCGGCCGTGGCAATGCGCTCCCATGCGAGCGCGCGCGCAGGGCACATGGCGCTGGCGCGTCAGCTCGTGCGCCGTAGGGCTCCTCGCTGACGGCGACGCGCACGGCAGTTGCAGTCGCCCTCGGCTTTGCGTTTCGCCTTTGGGGTCGCCCCCGCTGAAGCGATTGCAATCATTGACGCAGCCGCTTTCGGCGCGACCTTCGGGCGGCTGGAGGAGGAGTGCGAGGGGGCGGGCCTGGCACCCCCTCGCCACGATGCGCGGGCATGGCGGCGTCAGCTCCCCCATGGGCCCCCGCGGGCCTCGAGCGAGTGGCTGCGCCGTAGGGCTCCTCGCTGACGGCGACGCGCACGGCAGTTGCATTCGCCCTCGGCTTTCGGTGTCGCCTTTGAGGTTACCGCCGCTGAAGCGATTGCAATCATCGACGCAGCCGCCTTCGGCGCGAGCCTCGGACGGCATGAGGGGATGCGCGATGGGGGTGGGCCTGGCGCCCCCTCGCCACGATGCGCCTGGGGCCTCCCCCAGGAACGCGTCGGGGGCGCTCCGGGGTCCCTGGGGGTCGCGCTCCGGCGCCTGAGGGCGCTTGTGAGCGTCTGGGAGCGCGCGGGAGCGTCTGGGAGCGTGGAGGGACACGCAGCGTGTAGCGCGAATGCGAGCCGTGGATTGGCCGTTGGGCTTGGCCGTTGGCGTCGCCCGCGCTGAAGCGATTGCATCTTCGCATGGCTGGAGGGGGAACGCGAGGGGGTGGGTCTGGCACCCCCTCGCTACGATGCGCGGGCGTGGCTGCGGCAGCACCTGCGTGGGGGGGGAACGCCTGGGAGCGCCGGCGACCGTCCGCGAGCGCCTGGGAGCGCTCGTGAACGCTTGGAAGCGCCTGGGAGCGCTTGCGAGCGCCTGGGCGCGCCGCGGTGCGCTTTGGAGCGCCTGTGGGCGCTTGGGAGCGCCCGGAACGCTTGGATGCTTGGGATTGCCTGGGGGCGCCGGGGAGCGCTTGGGAGCGCTTGGGAATGCTTGGCAGCGCTGGGAGTGCCGGGGAGCGCTGGGGAGCTCCTGGGAGCGCCTGAGAGCGTTTGGGCGCGTTGGGGACACCGAGGAAGCTAGGGAGAAGGCCCCGAGGCGCCGCATGCCGTATTTTCATACGGATTGCGGGTTAAGGGTTCTTTACATTCAGCGAACAAGCGGCGGCCGCATACGCGCGGCGGGCGGATGCCTCCTCAACGCTGCGCGCTCCGTCGGTGCCACGTGCGTGGAATGGGCAGGCTCGCTGAGCGCTCGGCCAGACGCCACGGGCTACGGACGTTGCACAGCCTGTGGCGTGCAGTTTAGGGTTTAGGGCCGGTGCCGCGCGGTGTCCCGCCGGTGTCCCGCCGGTGTCCCGTCGGTGTCACGATGATGATGATGATGATGATGATGATGATGGTGACGATGATGATGATGGTGATGTTGATGCTGATGATGTTGCTGGTGATGATAATGATGATGATGATGTTGACCTGATGATGAGGATGATGATGCTGATGTCGATGATGTTGACGATGGTAATGCTGCTGATGATGATGATGGTGATGGTGGTGATGATGATGCTGTCCCGATGATGATGATGTTGGCGATGTTAATGATGATGGTGATGATGATGGCCATGGTGATGATGATGATGATGGTGCTTCGATGATGATGACGATGTTGGTGATCATGATGATGTTGATGATGATGATATGATGATGTGTTGATTCGGATGATGATGAATCTGATGATGATGGTGGTGTCCCGATGGTGATTGTGATGATGAGGTTGATGATGATGATGCGGCTGATGATGATGGTGATGATGATGGTGTCCCGATGATGACGATGATGATGATGATGGTGATGATGATGCTGATGATGATGACGACGATAATGCGCGCGCGAATCCGACAATTTCTACCTGTTGCCGGAGATCTCAGCACGCTTGTGGCCCGTTGGGACAGCGAATTTTGGCCTTTTCGTCTTTCTGGCCGCTGGCATTCTCAGGCCTTTAGATGGCTCTGACTTGCCCCAAGACGGCTTCATGTGAGCCCACAAATCCTACAAAAAAGCCCAAGAGGGCCCCGACAAACCCCAAGAGTACCCACATACCCCTGTAAGGTCGAAGCTGGGCCCTCTTTCATGCCACTGCGCGCCCTCTACAGGACGACGAGGACAAATCCACCCGGTGTTCTTCCGGAAGCAAGGCCCCAAGATGCCCCCCCAAAGGCCTTCCAAAAGCATTTAAGAGTTTCTCCATGTGCTCCGCAGGGGCTCCTAAGACCGCCCCAAGAGACTCTCAAGAGGCATGCTAACAGCCCCACCGTGCCCAGCACCGGCCTCGCAAAAAAATGAAGGGAACTCCTTCGTGTTCTATCCAGTGATGGTTTCTCGTCGACACCGGCTGCACACGACGGCGGTGTTAAAATAGCTGCCCCCCCAGGCACCCCCCCGCAATCCTCACGGTCATCCAGGCGTATCCTCGCAATGCCATAGGATGGGCCAGCGGAGTGCGTGTGACGCTTGATCAGAGAATGGATGGATTCGAGTTGTGTTCGGGATTCGATTTTCTGCTGCGTATGGGGCCAACGGGACCAGGCGGACAGCGACGACGACGACGACGAGGGATTGTGGCGGGCCCCAGTACGTGGCGAGGCCCCAGGCCGTGTCGGACAGAAGCATGTAATGGCCAGCAGGATGGCCACGCTTGCAGCCGCCCAGCACCTGGTTCGAAGGCCTCTCTGATGTCGGCGTCACCCCAACATGCTTTTACTACATGTGCGTCGCCCCCCAGGGGCGACGCGCGCACCGAGAGATCTTATAGTGTATGCGTCGTGGCGGGCGCTTTCTGGCCACACCGCTCGGGAAACGATATACTACAAGATGGGTGTACTATGTTCAGGAGGGGAAGAAACACACAGACACAATTAATCGTTGATTCCACAGAAAATATGGGAAAATAAGGGAAGTGGGGGGGAAGACAGAAACCCAGAAAATTTGGGAAAATATGGGGAACCTTTTTATGTGTGTGTATTTATTTGCGTGTCCTGGGGCCCCTTCATATGTGTTCGGGTCGGACGCGCGCCTCCAAGGAGAACATATTAGTACTACTATGTCTCTGTGCGTCCCATGATGCTCTTCAGATGCGCCCAGAGTTCCCAATGTGCTTTCGAAAAGCGCCCAGGCGGCCCAAGACTGCCCCAGGTGGAAGTGAAGCAAGATGGCGTTCGAGTGGGCCAAGAAACCCTGGTTGGAATGGCCTCGAGGGCGACCGCGAGAGGCCCAACGGTGCCCTCGGTATGCCAAAGATGGCTCTGGGAATGACCCGACGTGTCATTTCAGCCTTTCTGCTGGATTGCTTCTGGATGGCTTCTAAGACCTGTGGATTCCGCGATTGAATATACGGTATGCCCGACGTGTCAGGCGACGTGCATGTCTATTGTCGGACATGTCGGACGGAGTACCCGCAGGATCTGGCATGTCGGACGGCGAGTATATCTCCTTGGGTTTTCACGAGCGCGACGACCTGGCCACCGTGGTAGACTACCTGCGCGCATCGAGGAAGGTTACTTGCATAGGCCAGCCATGTTGCTTTCTTTTCTCCTGCGCAGTCTCTCCCGCTTTTCCTTGCTTTTCCTCCTCGCCTGTTCCCCCCATTTCGCATCCGCCCCCTCCGCCCCACCGAGAACGATTTCCTTTCCCTGCCCCTTGTCCTTTCCTTCCGCTCCCCTCCACTTCCCCATGCTGTGCCTCATCCAGTCAGTTATTCTGCCTACCCATTCTGACGGTTCAAGGAACAAACTTTGCAACAACAGCGCCCGAACAAGAAAGACTCCCATTCCCCCCCTCCACCCCTCGGCCTCAACATTGGAAAGTACTGTGTTCAAGATGCTGGGTTCAAGATGTATCCGTTTCGCTGCTCCGAGGGCGGAGGCGGGTCATGCGATCGTAAAGTTGCTTCTCCCAATGGCATGTCGCACGCTATCTCCATTCCGTACCAGGTATTGTGCGGGCTTTACGGCCCGCGCCGCCCGCCCTGAAGGGGGAGCCCGAAGCGCTTGGGAGGCAAGGCGACGACGGGGACACCTCCTCCTCCTCCTCCTCCTCCTCCTCCTCCCTCCTCCTCCTCCCTCCTCCTCCTCCTCCTCCTCCTCCTCCTCCTCCTCCTCCTTCTCCTCCTCCCTCCTCCTCCCCCCTCCTCCTCCTCCTCCTCCCCCCCCCGCTTCTCCCAGGGAGGAGTCGAGTCCTCCACGTGCTGTCCCTCGCGTGGGTCGGGGCCCCAATCGCTGACCCCCCTCTGGACAGTCTGCCGCCCACCAGAGGCCCGCCTCGCCGCTGCCCTCTCGGCCCCCACGCCCCCCGCGAGGGCCAGCAGCTGTTGGTGCTTGAGTCGGAGGTGGACAGACCTCCTACCTCCTACCTCCTCCTCCTCCTCCTCCTCCTCCTCCTCCCGTTTTCTCCTCCCGTCTCCTCCTCCTCCTCCTCCTCCTCCTCCTCCTCCTCCTCCCCGCCTCTCGTTTCGGAGGTGGATAGACCTCCTACCCTGACGCGTCGTTTGGGGAGTTGGCCGTTTTCGGTTCGCGAGAGGGCGTCGCGGCCGTTGTTTTTGCGGGTCCCGGTCCGTCGGTTTCGGTCCTGGGCTGTTTTCACTGAGGGGAGGCTTACTAAAGGGAGGTTTGTCCACCGCCGATTGAAGCAGAATCGGCTCAGGCCGCGTCGAGGGGGAAGTGAGGGGGGTCAGGCCTCCTCAGAATGCGGAGGGCCTCGGAGAAGGCTCAGGAAGCGCTCCTCGGAAATCTGGCGGGTCTTTTGAGCCTCCCGAGAAGGCCCGCCCCCCTTCTGCCTCTCCCCCTCGGCGCACCGCCAGTTCCTTTTCCCTGGGTCCCCGGCGATTCCCCGCTCTCTCTCTCTCTCTCTCTCTCAGTTCCTCCACCCTTCGAGATTGCACGCGTGTGCGCTAACTCCGTAATTTGAAGTCGGGCCTGTCCCTATACAGGGGGTCAAAAAATACGCCGGGGACCATGTTTGGCGTATTTTTGGGGCATCTGGTGAGCATTTTTTGGGGGTACTTCTCATTTCCTCGTCCAGGAGCCCCCTGTGGGGGGACAGGCCCGACCGAGCCGCAACTCCGTGACTCGGGGACTATTTTTTGCGCATTCGTGGGGCCTCTTGTGATCACTTTTGGGTCTCTTTCTTATCTCCTCGTCCAGGATCCCCCCTGTGGGGGGACGGGCCCGACCGAGCCGCACCTCCGTGACTCCGCACCTCCGAGACCCGGGCCGTGCGGCCCGGCAGGCCTCTGGGGCCGCTCCATGGGCGCGGCCACGGCGCTGCTGCACGCGGACAGGGACCCCTCCATCGCCGGGCCGCCCCGCGCCCCTGTTCGGAGCAGGGCGAGGGCGGGGGGGTCGCGGCCTCGGGGGCGGCAGAGGGGGGTGGGTGAGGACCAGGGCTAAGTCGGGCCCGTCCCCCCTACAGGAATATCTTCGACGAAAGATAAAAGAAATACCCCCCAAAGAGTCCAAACATAGACCAAACATGTTTTTTTTTTTTTTTGATTTTTTTGTTGGGGGGTATTTTGTGGGGCCTTTTTTTATTGAATCGCTTCGCTCATTCCGCTGGCCCATTTCGCATGACTGAGCCTCTTGGGGCCGCTGGGGGGCCTCTTCAGCGTCGCTTGGGGGCCTCCTGAGGGCCTCTTGGGGGCTTTTGGGGTCTCTCAGGGGCCTCTTGAGGCCTCCTGGGGGCTTCTTAAGGCCGAGGGCTCGAAGTTTTGTTTTGTGTTCCCCCTTTGGGCATGGCTTGGGGCCCTCTTGGGCCCCTCTTGGGCCGTCTTGGATGCCTCTGGGGCCGTCTTGGAGCCCTGTTGGGCCATCTTGGGGCCTTCTTGGGAGCTTCTTGGGCCCTCTTGGGGCGATCTTGGCAGCCTCTTGGGCCGTCTTGGGGCGTCGGGAAGCCGAAAAGATGGACACGCCCAAATCTGCCCAAAACCTAAGGAAAAGTAATGAATTTTGCCTCTTGGGGCCCTCTGGGGAGTGCTCATGGAGGCCTCTTGGGGCGTCTGGGGGCCATCTTGGGCGTCTTGGAACGATCGTGTGGCATCTCGGAGCACTCTTGAACCATCTTGGAGGGCTCTTGGCGGCCTCGTGGCCCTTCTTGGGGCTTTCTGGAGGGCCACGGGGGCGGCGCCCAGGAGGAAAACCATCTCTGACCCGACCCTGCCGGGGATCGCCCGGGGTACTTTTCGTCCGGGGACCCCCAGGGGCCGCCCCCGCGCGCGCGAAGTAGAAGTATTATTTAGCAGTTACCGGAGATCTTAGCACGCCTCTGGCCCGTTGGGCCGGCGAAATTTTCGCCGAAAGTCCCCCTGTAGGGGGACAAGCCCCACCTAAGACTAGATGGGGGTGGATGTCGTGGCGGGGGCCATGATCTTTCCCCGGATCTCACCGCGCCTCTTCTTGTCTCATCACTTCCCTGCCCCCCCCCCCTCTGGGCCGCGCACACGCCGCCGGCCATGATCTGCGCCCCCCCCCTCTCGGACGCCCCCCTCTTGGCCGCCCCCGAGCAGAGGGAGCGGGGGGCGGACAGGTCGGGCGAGGCTGGAAGCGAGAGGAATGAAGACGGGCAGAGAGCGACGAGTCGGGGGAGGCAGCTGGTAGATACCTCGTTTTGCTCCCCCCCCCTCTCGGCCCTGGCCTCGGAGCTAGAAGAGGGCGATTGGAATGAGGGAGGGCGATAACGAGGGGAAACGGACGGGAGGAGGAGGAGGAGGAGGAGGAGGAGGAGGAGCAGGAGGAGGAGGAGGAGGAGGAGGAGGAGGAGGAGGAGGAGCAGGAGCAGGAGCAGAAGGAGCAGGAGCAGGAGCAGGAAGCGGATGAGGGCCGGGAGGGCCGTGCCCATTTTGGTTCAACTTCTCGTCGCCTCACGAGCTCTGTCTCCGGCGGGGGGCGGCCCGCGCGCTCCCCGTCGCGCGCGTGGCGTTGCAGCTTCTTCAGTGTTGACGCCCGGATGCGGTCCTTGGACCGTGGACGACAGCAGCAACCGCCAGAGCCCAGCTGGCGATGCCTGCGGCACCGAAGAAGGCGAAGCCTGCGACAAGCACGGCAGGCTGGGTGCGTCGGCGATCGAGTGTCGCCCCGACGGGGGCGGTTTGCGAGCTGCACCGGCTACCAGCGTCACCATGTGTCGCATGAGCGAGCTGTGGCTGCCTGGCGGCTACACAGGGGTCGACGTGCTCTTCGTGATCTCCGGGTACGCCGTCACAGGCTCTCTGCGCAGCCATCAAACCAGCAGTGTATCAGATTTTCTCTGTGGCCTTAGTGCGCGACGGATTTGAATTTGACGCCTGCACTGTTGCTGGTGATCGAAGTCAGTGGGCTCATTTCGGCGCATACCGAGCCGCCCTATCTTCCCCATGCGGACGATTTTATTGTAGCTGCTGCGTGTGCTGTGTGCGGTGTCACCAATTTGTTCTTCGGACTCTTTCCGCAGCAGGACGACGGGGGTTATTGGGACCAGATGACGGGCGAAGACAGGACAGCCGCCAACCCGTACGTGCACACATGGTCTCTAGGGGTTGAGGGGCAATATTGTCTCGTCATGTTTCTGTTCCTGATGCTGGTGCATGCTCGGCCTTGCGCTGCGTCGTGGTTGAACCCTCGCCCGGTGTGGCCCGCGCCTGCCGCCACACTTGCAGCGTGAGCTGCGCTGTCGGTGTGCATCTGCTGGTGGATGACGCCCTGCCTGCGCGGTTCTGGGAGCTCGCCGCTGGCGCCACCATCGCCGAGGTGGAGGCGTCAGGCGGTTCTGCTGGCCCGCTGCCTGGGGATGCACGGCGGCTCTGGCGGCCCAGCTGATGGTGGTGGTGGTGGTGGTGCTGCTGCTGCGATAGAGCTTCTGGTTTGTCACGCCAGAGGCCATGGGCTTCCTCTTCCCTGGCGTCGTTCTCCCCGTCGCCAGCGCCGTCTGTTTCCTCGACGCGGGGGAGAGCGGCGAAAGCTTCCTGGATCACAGCGTGTTAGGCGGCACGGTGGCAGTGTACATCGGGAAGGTCTCTTACCCTCTCTATCCAGCTGCCTGCGGCAAGTCCCGCTACCTTGCCAGCCCAGACTTTGGGTGGCGACTGCTCGATGGGGCACGGGAGGCCGTCACGTGTGACACATTGTGCATCCAGGTTCGGTAGAGCCGTAATGAGGATGATGATGGTTATGAGGATGATGGGGATGATGACAATGACGATGATCGGTGATGATGACGATGCTGATCGATGGTGGCGATGATGACGATGATGATAAAGAGGAGGATGCGGAGGATGAGGAGGAGGCCGATGATGGTGGTTCTGGTGTTGGTGCTGGTTCTGGTGCTCGTGGTGTTGGTGCTGGTGTTGGTGGTGCTAGTGGTGGTGATGATGACAAATGATGATGGGTCTGATGCTGCTGCTGATGAGGATGATGATCATGATGGTGGTGATGATGATGATGCTGGTTCTGGTGCTCGTGCTCGTGGTGTTGGTGCTGGTGTTGGTGGTGGTAGTGGTGGTGATGATGATGAATGATGATGATGATGATGATGATCATGGGTCTGCTGCTGCTGCTGCTTCTGATGATGATGATAATGGTGGTGGTGATGATGATGATGCTGCTGATGATGATGACGATGACGATGGCAATGACGATGACGATGATGATGGTGCTGCTGATGATGCTGACGATGATGATGCTGCGGATGGTGATGATGATCCTGCTGATGATTATGCTGCTGATGATGATGATGATGATGATGGTGATGGTGATGGTGATGATGATACTGAGAATGCTGATGTTGATGATGCTGCCGCTGATGCTGATGATGATGCTGCTGATGATGATGCTGATGATAATGACGAGAATGATGATGATGATGATGATGATGATGCTGATGATAATGCTGATGCTGATGATGCTGATGTTGCTGTTGATGATTATGTTGAGGATGATGATTATGGTGATGCTGCTGCTGGTGATGATAATGCTGATGCTGCTGCTGCTGCTTCTGCTGCTGCTGATGATGATGATGATGATGATGATGATGATGATGATGATGATGATGAGACTTGTCCTGCGAACGTGTAGGGGTGCAGCAAAGAGTCCGTTCTACTTCGCTCAACCCTTTCAACTTCTTGGAGCAGCTGTCTTCTATGCGCCCAAGTCAACCGCGCATCCCTTCCTGGCTGTTGGTCTGCGCCTGGGGCGCGCTGGATGCCGTTTGGCCTGGCCTGGTGCGCGGCGGCGGAGGGGGCCCCCCAGGCGAGCCTCCGTCCACGGCCCTTGCAGCCGAGGCCGCCTTTCGCGAAGCTGAGCGGGCCGCGTCGTACGCCCGCAACCTCTCAGGCCGCCCCGAGGACCTCTCGCGGCTGCACGCAGAGGTGGCGGCGCTCGCGTGGCACTTGCAGGAGCTCCGCAGGGACCAGGCGCAGCAACACACCGACGCGGACTCATTCCACGTGCACTCGATAGGGCTGGTGCTGACAGGCATCTTGACACAGATCGTGAGTGTGATCAGCCTCTGTCGTTTCCGTCATGGTGCTGCTTCCTCGACTGCAGCTTTACCAAGCGGAGGGGAGCGCCGCCGTGGCGGCGGAGTTCTTCAATGTGTTGTTGCCAGGCCGCATCGCCACCTTCCATTACGGGGGCGGCCGCGGCATTTGGCACGAGCGGGTCTTGATCTGGCCCGCAGACGCCCAACTGTCTCCCACGCGATGGGCGATTGTGACACCCGATGGCGACGTGTACGGGGAGGAGATCGCCAGCGAGGCCGACGGGGATGGGCCCGACATAGCGTCGCAGCGCCTACCCGACGGAGGCCGAGTTGCTCGACATGGTTCGCACCGCGAGGCGCGAGGCACGGGCGGCTGGCCTCAGTGTGTCGCAGCCCCCGTACTTCGTGCAGAGCGGAGACGTCCTCGGCGGCGCCTCCACGGTCAGCTTCGGTGAGGTGCCAGGCTTCTACCGCCGCCTGGGCTGCAAGGGTCCCGCTGCCCGGCTGTGGGCCCTGGTGACGGCCCCAGCGCCCCTGCCACCGCCGGTGGCCGCGCCACCAGGCCTGGGCGAGAACGCCGGGGACGGGGAGCCTCTGGACGTTGGGGGGGCCGCCGCGCCCGTGCCAGACCCTGCAGGCGCCCGCGTGCTCGTGAGCGCGGAGGCGTCGGCCCCTGGTTTGGCTTGGGTCTGCTGCAAGCCGTGCCGAACGAAATCCAGCGGGGCGACGAGATCTCGCTGGCTCCAGGCGACATCATCTGGTGCGAGAGCGGTCCACGCAGCACGCCGTGTGGCTTCGTCGTGTCGATGGAGCTGGTGCCGACGCCGATCGGGGCGCATCGTGCTGGCGACGAGGAAGATGACGCGCGTCTGCTGGGCCCTCGGATGCGGAGTCGCGACGGTCGTCGCGATCGAGACTCTCGAGATTCGGTCGGCCAGATGCGCCGGGACGTCCTCGATGACTTCCCCTTGTCGGGCGGGCGCAGCTGCGCGTGGCTGTGCGAGCACATCCTGGAGCATGGGGGTACTCCTGACGGCCGCCAAACCAAGTGGATGAGTGAGAGCGGCTGCACCAAGGACTTCGGCTGCCGCGCACATCCATGACTTCTTGGGGCTGTCGATCGAGCTCGCGCAGACCTGCGACCAGGTCGACGGCTCGAACCTGGCGCGCCTGGAGGTGATCGCTCGCGCGAGCCAGCTGGTTGACATCATTCAGGTCGAGTTTGTCGAGCGCTACATCGGCCGCTCGAAGCAGAGCGCTCGCCGCGGAGTTGCCGCGGCGCCTGGGCTCGCCAAGCACGCCGCGTAGCAGATCGCCAAGGAGATCGACATCCAAAGGCAGTAGCGGAAGGCGCGCGAGGAGGAGCGCCGCCGCTGGCAGGAAGGGACAGGGGTGACCTGGAGTCGGCGGACGGGAGGTGGCTCGGCCTGTCCGCCGTTTCGTGAGAGCCAGTTCTGTTGACCTGGCTCAGGTGATTCTCCTGGTGGCGGGGTGCTTCCTTTCGCTGCCCCTGCCGCGCCAGTCTCCCCGCGCCCTCTGCGCGGGCTATCCCGTTCGGTTCAGGCTCGCACCCATCGCGGTGAGGCTGTCGAGGAGCGTGCTCGGGGCACCGCGGGGTGTCTCAGCGCGCTCGATGGCTAAACCGCGCCGCAGTGCACGCCGGGGCGCCCCTCAGACGTGGGCGACTAGCCGCGACGTCGAGCGCGCGCTGGGCCACTGCACCTTCGCGGCGCTCTGCCGCCGCGAGAGCCCGGGCTGTTTCAGCGCCGTCGTGCTCGGCCGCTGTGGGCGTCAGCGCGGCAGGAGCTGAAGATCTCCCGCGGCGTCTCCATCGCGCTGAGCTCGCAGATGGACGCCCCGTGGTCCTCCATGGTGATCGTGGCTGGGGAAAGAGGCGCGTTGTCTCGGGGGGTGATTTGGAATTTGCTCTCGCACTCTCGAACAGTCGTTGCCGTGATATTTAATCGGCCAATATGCTTCGCAGAGGGGCCGCCCTCGCGTTTGCCGCGGGCTCTCGGGGCCAGAGGCGACGGGCGCCCAGCGAGCTGGGCGGCGCCGACGGCGCCAGCCGTGCCCGCGAGCGTGCTGACGGATAACGTGCGCGCGCCGCCGACTGGCGAGCGCTGGCTGCGCGGGGCCGCCAGCTGCGGCCCCGCCGCGGCGCTAGCGACCGCCCGCAGGCTGGCGCGGGCGCCCCGGGGCGCTGCCCCCCAGCTGCCTTTGCGGCCCCAGCTCAGCCGTCGCCGACGGCTGCTCGGGCCCCGGCTTTGGCGCGAGTCTCGGCCCAGGTTGCGACCCCCGGGCCGCGGGCCGCCCGGGCCCGCCTGGCCCGAGCCGCGGGCCCGCAGCTGGCGCACTTGGCGGAGCGGCCGTTCTCACCGCGCTTTGCGCCGCCCAGCGCGTCTTCAAACCCCCCTGCGGAGTTGCCGAGGTATGCGCGGCGCCGCCTGGAGGCTGGAGAGGAGACGCGGGGCGCCGGCCGCCAGCTCTCCATCGCGGAGGCCGCCGCCGCGGGGAAGCGCAGCCGCCGCCGGTGCCGCGGCGCGCGGGAGCAGTTCCTGGCAGCCACCAAGCTGGGGGCGCTGGGAGTGGCCGCGCCCATGCTGGACGCCTCTGCGGCGAGGTTCTTCGACGAGCTGTGCCTGGCGGGAAGGTCGCCGCGACGGGCGAGAAGCTGATTGGCGCCGTCGCCGCGTGCGTGCCCGACCACCGGGGCAAGGGCCGCCCGGCGCCCCCTCGAGCCCATCGCGCGCAACGGGGCTGGAGGATGCCGCGGCCGTCGCGGACGCACCGCCCGCTGCCTTGGGCGGCCTGCGCGGGCGTGGCTCGGCGGCTGTGGCAGCTCAGTGGCAAGGTGGAGATGCCTCTCTGTTGGTTGCTGATGGTGGGCACTTACAGGTGAAGCGGACCTTCGACAGCGCAGCGGTCTCCCTCGGACACGAGGGCCTGCGCCCCGCGCCGTGCATGGCGCGGCGCAGCGGGGCCTTGATCGACGGGCTCACGGGGCGGATCTCGCTGCTGGAGGTCCAGCGCCGCGGCGAGTGGAGGCAGCCCGCGCCCGCGCGCCTCTGCGAGAAGCGCGGCCTGACCCAGGCAGCGTGGACCCAGATGGCTTCTCGGTCGGGGGGGGGGCCGCCTGCGCGCCGTGGCCGGGCTGCCCGCGCTGCTAGGCGCAGGCTGAGTGAGAGGTTCCGCCTGCTTCATCCAGAGCAAAAGGAGCCCGTTTCTTTATTGCTGGGGGCACTGCGGGCGCCGTGGCCCCCGCTCTTATGAAGTGGCGCTTCCCCCCGGCGCGCTCCCTGCACTGCCGCCGTGCGCATTGGGATCCGCGTAGGTGTCCGCGCAGGCGTCCGCATAGGTGTCTGGTCCGCATCGTCGTCGTCGTCGCCGTCGTCGGACGCGGCCGGAGCGTGTTTTTATTCCAGGCCGATGACTGCAATCATTTACGGGGGTGAAGGGGCCAGGAAACACTTCGATGGAAAAGAAGTGGCCGGCTTAGCCGGACAGTTGTTTTTCATCGAAGTGTTCTCGGGATCAGAGAATTTCTCGACCCCCCTCAGGAAAAAAAAAAACCTGGTTTCTGTGTGTTTACCTTCGATGTTTTGCAGGGTCCGCCAGGCGACCTTTTTCGGCCTTGTATATTGCGTCGGGCCTTGCGCAAGATCAAGACTGACAAGTGTCCCGGGCTTCTCGCAGGGGCCCCATGCGGGAGTTTCTCTACTGCTTGTGGTGGCCACAGCGCCGTCCGTAGCGTTGACCATCCCCGTGGCCCCCCTTTTCTCCCCCCTCTTGTGCAGTCTGTAGTTGACGAGGGAAATCGAATTCTACAGGTGTCTATTCAGATATTGGAGTTTGTCGGCAGATGCGTGTTTTTTTGGTGGGGGAAACCTCAGTCATCCTACATGTAGGTACCAGGTTTCGTGTCTGCCTTTTGCCTCGGGCCTGCGATTTGTCAAAGCGTCGTCGACCTCTCCGAAGGATATGGACTTTCACAAGTAGGAAACACGATATCCTCCAGGGCCGGAATGGCCTCGGTGTTCACTGGACAGCTCGCATTGCCACCCATCCCAGGACACTGTGCAATGCGATGGCCGACGTGTTCATTGATGCCGCTTTTGATATCGTTTTCAAACAAAGTCTACACTCGTTCTTTTCTCGCCTTTCCCATCTCGACGAATGACGTGCGTAACATAACCGTTTGCGACCTTTGCATGCTTCGAAGTTTGGCAATGCTGGTTTCAGTTGTATCGTTTCGATCGCTGCCGTCGCCAGCATCGTTGTTCGATTGGGTCTCACACGCCATATGTGGATGACAGATATCACAGTTCAGAAAATCAAGGACGGGGAACGTCCGACTTGTCCTGCGAAGGTGTGGGGGGTGCAGCACAGAGTCCGTTCTATTTCGCTCAAGCCTCCCGCCTATTCTCTCTGATGAACAGAAGCCCGTCCCTGCTCACGGCGGACCGCAAATACAGTCTTGATCGGTAATGTTGTTGGTTTCAGCTTTGTCGTTTCGATTACTGCCGTCCCCAGCATCGCTGCTCGATTGGGTCTTACACACCACATGCGGATGACACATATCACAGTGCTGAAAATTAAGGACGGGTGGGGAACCTCATGATGATGATGATCGTGGTGGTGGTGGTGTTGATGATGATGCGGATGATGCTGGTACTGATGTTGCTGATGTTGCTGATGCTGCTGATGATGATGCTGACGACGATGTTGATGATGATTGAGATGATGCTGATGAATATGGTGCTGCTGATGATGACGATGATGATGATGAGGAGGAAGAAGAAGAGGAGGAGGAGGAAGAGGAATAGGACAAGGAGGAGGAAGAGGATGAGGGGGGTGACGATGCGGGAACTCGTTTGGACCGTCTCGGGGCTGTCCTGGCTTTCTGTGAGGCAGTCTTGGGGGTCCCTTGGAGCCCGCAGGGGCCGTCTTGAGGCCCGCTTACGCCGGCTTGGGGTTCTTTTGGGTCGTTTTGTGACCCTCGTGACAATATGGTGGGTGTTTTGGGGCCGTCGTGGGGCCGTCTTGGGCCGTCGGGAGGCCGTCGTGGGTCTTGGGGTCCTCTTGGGCCCTCTTAGGGGGCTCTATTGGACCGTTTTGCAGGCTTCCTGGACGATCTTGGGACGAGCTGTGGGGGTCCCCCTGTGCCAGAGTGGGCGTTTTCAAGACGAGAATGGCGTGCATGTCGAAAATGTACATTTTCCAACGGGATTGGGGCGATGCTTGACTCTTGAGGTTCTTTCCGCGGGTAACATTATTGGGCCGTCTTGGGGGCCTCGTAAGCCATCTTGAAACCATCTTGGACCGTCGCGACGTTAGTACCCTGGGCCGCCTCGATGCTCTTTTGTATTGTCTCGGCGCTCATGGGGCCGTCTTGGGTGTCTTTGGAGGCGCCAAAGAGCCCCCAGGGTGCGTTGACGAGCTCGTGCCCCCCCCCACGCCCCCCCCTCGAATGTGATTTTTGGCGCCAGGGGAAGGGGGAAGGGGGAGGGGGACAAGCCAATCATCCCACACGCCTTCCCACACTCGGCACGCGAGGGTCGGCAGATTCTCCCTCCATCTGTCTCCTTAGACCTCCATTCCTCCCCCCCCTACGTGGCATGCTTGAATAGATGATCAGCTTGCCAGGTAGGCTGGCTCGCACGCGCCGTCCAAAGTCCCACAGTCGCAGCGAGATGACAGGAGGAGGAGGACGAGGACGAGGAGGAGGGGGAGGGGGAGAGGAAGGGGGAAGAGGTGGACGATGAGGCCGACGACGAAAACGGCGTCTTCGATGGTAACGGCAACGGCGACGCAACTGCGAAGGGAAGGAGGAGGGGCGGGAGAGGACGAGGGTGAAGAGAAGCAGCCACAGTGCCAGCTAGAGCATTCGTCGCACGGAGAGGGTTATGATGATGGTGATGATGGTGATGAGGATGTCAATGTTGATTATTATTATGATGATGATGATGATGATGCTGATGCTGATGCTGATGCTGATGATGATGACGATGATGATGATGATGATGATGATGATGATGATGATGATGATGATGATACGGCTGCTGCTGATGATGATGATGGATGGTGGTTGTGGTGGTGATGGTGATTATGATGATGGTGCAGACGGACGTTGTTGTTGATGATGATGATTATGATGATGATGATGCTCATGATGTTCATGATGATGACGGTAAAGAGAAGGACGATGAGGATACGGATGAGGATGATGATGATGATGATGATGATGCTGAGGAGGATGAGGATGAAGATGGGGACGCCGACGATGATGATGCTGCTGATGATGCTGCTGATGATGATGATGATGATGATGATGATGCTGGTGATGGTGATGGTGATGGTGATGGTGATGCTGATGCTGATGGTGATGATGATAATGATGATGATGATGACGATGAAGAGGGGGATCAGGACGATGCTGATGCTGATGATGCTGATGATGATGCTGATGATGGTGATGATGATGATGATGCTGATGCTGATGCTGATGCTGATTGGTATATCTGGTGGTGATGCTGATGCTGATGCTGATGCTGCTGCTGCTGATGACGACGATCACGGTGACGACGATAATGATGACTATGATGAGGCCGAGGATGATGCTGATGATGATGATGATGATGATGATGATGATGATGATGATGATGATGATGATGATGACTATGATGAGGCTGAGGATGATGATGCTGATGCTGATGAAAACGATGAAGACGGTGATTATGATGACGATGATGATTAAACTGATAATGATGAGGAGGAGGACGATGATGATGATGTTGATGATGATGCTGATGGTGATGATGATGGTGATGCTGATGCTGCTGCTGATGATGCTGCTGATGATGATGACGATGCTGATGATGATGCTGATGATGTTGATGATGTTGATGATGATGATGATGATGCTGATGCTGATGCTGATGCTGATGATTATGATGCTGATGATTCTGATGATCATGACGATGATGACGATGGTTGGTGGTGATGGTAATGATGATGATGCTGAGGAAGAGGAGGAGGAGGAGGAGGAGGAGGAGGAGGAGCAGGAGGCCCGAGGCGCTGAGTCGTTCGCGTGGTCGACGCCTTCATCGCCTTGCGCGTCGCCAAGTTCCCGTGTATGCCCCGTCAACATCACAGAACGCGCGGCAAAGGGGCCCGCGGCGTCTTTTCGGGGATGGTGAGGATGAGGATGAGGATGAGGATGAAGATGATGATGATGATGATGATGATGATGATGATGATGATGATGATGAGGATGGTGACGATGATGATGATGATGATGACGATGATGTTGATGATGTTGTTGATGATGATGATGGCGATGGTGATGGTGATGGTGATGGTGATGATGATGATGATCATGATGATGATGATGATGATGGTGATGATGATGAGGATGGTGACGATGATGATGATGATGATGATGATGACGAAGATGATGATGTTGTTGATGATGATGATGGCGATGGTGATGGTGATGGTGATGGTGATGATGATGATGATGATGATGATGATGATGATGATGATCATGCTGAAGATGCTGATGCTGATGATGATGATGATGATGGTGATGATGATGAGGATGGTGACGATGATGATGATGACGATGATGATGATGTTGTTGTTGATGATGATGATGATGATGATGGCGATGGTGATGGTGATGGTGATGGTGATGATGATGATGATGATGATGATGATGATGATGATGATGATGATGATCATGCTGAAGATGCTGATGCTGATGATGATGATGATGATGATGATGATGATGATGATGATGATGATGATGATGATGATGATGATGATGATGACGATGATGATGAGAGGAGGAGGAGAGGAGGAGGAGGAGGAGGAGGAGGAGGAGGAGGAGGAGGAGGAGGAGGTGGTGGTGGGAGGAGGAGGAGGAGGGAGGAGGAGGAGAAGGAAGAGGCGTAAGAGGCGGGGGTGGAGGGCGGAGGCGGAGGAGGATGCCGACGGCGACGGCGGCGAGGGTGAGCGGGATGGGGGCGGGCTGGCTGGCTTACGGTGATCGGCGGGTGCTCGGTGCCGTGGTGCGGGCCTCGAGCGCTCGCAGGCTGGTGCTGGACAGCCCGTTCTCCGACCTCAGGCGCAGCCCGCGCGCGGCGCCCGCCCCTCCCGGCGCAAGGGTCAGAGGAGGGGCAGCTGAGGGGCCCACCTCAAGGGATTGTTGGATTTCGGGGGGCCCCCTCGAGGTCAGAGGAGGGACAACGGCAGATGGATTTCGGGGGCCCCCCTCGAGGTCCGTTTCTTGCGTTTTCGTGGGCCCTCGGCGATCTTTCAGCCTCGGGGTTCCCTCCAGCTGCGCCTGCCTCGCCGACGGCGTTCTGGGGGTGCCCAGATCGTCCCAGGCGCCGTGGGCCCAAGTCATGGCCCGAAAGCCACCCTCCGCCCTGCTTCCTGGAGATCAGGGGAGAGCGAGCCGAAACAGAGGTAGCGAGGCGCGCGGATTAGCAGCGGTTTCCGCCTCCGTGCAGGATCGGCGCGATCCGTCGCCAGATGAGGCGGCAGAAGCTTCATGTTTCGGGGGGTACCTTCCCGATCCGTGGATCTGGCGCCCCAGTGACAGATCCAGGGGTCTGTACTCCATGGCACCCTGCGCCCGATGGTCCGCGCCCCTGCCGGGGCGCTGGGCGGGCGTGAGGGGCAGGAGCTGGACGCGCGTGGCCGAGGGCCTTGCCCGCGCGCGGCCTCCGCACGGGCACGTACACCAGTTCCAGGATGGGCACGAATCGCTCCAGATCGTTCTGCAATGTTTTCGAGGAGCGTTCTGCAAGGCTCTTGAACGGCCGCGGCGCCCGAGAAGTCCTCCGGAGCCGCCAGATCTCAGAGGTTCCCGTCTTTGGTCCCGATCCGATGTTGTCCCCCCCCCCCACGCCCCTCCCCCTCCCCTTTTCCTCCTCCCCTCTGTGCTTTGTCTTCCCTGCCATTCTGATCACCTCGCACCGTGCCTTTCTCGCGCCTCGGCGCCCCCTCCGCGGCGCCCCCGTAGCGCCGCGCGAGCGGAGCCCGTGCCGGCGCCAGTGCCGGTTCTGTCCCGTGCTTGGCCTCGTCCCCCGTGCCCGAGGCCCCGCCCCCTCCGCCTGCGCCTCCGTGGCGCCACGCGAGCGGAGCCCGTGCCGGCGCCGGTGCCGGCTCTGTCCCGTGCTTGGCCTCGTCCCCCTCGTGGCCGCGGGTGCTCCTGGCGCTCGGCCCTCGCGCGGCCATCGGCGCGCCTGCGCGCCCAGGAGCATGCGCACGGGGCGCGTGGCTCCCTTCGGCTGCACCCCCAGCTCGGCGCGCGCCGGCCTCGGCGCGAAGCGCCTCCTGCTCTGAGGAGGCCTCCGGTGCCGCGCGCTGCCTCTCTCAGGAGGGGAAAAAACACACAGACACAATCAATCGGCGATTCCCCCAAAAATACGGGAAAATATGGGAAGTGGGGGGGAAAACAGAAACCCAGAAAATATAGGAAAATGTGGGGAATCTTTTTATTTGTGTGTATATATTTGTGTGTCCCAGGGCACCTTCAGACTCTCCTCCCGCCCTCTGCCATTCCCCTCTCCCCTCGTGCCGCCATCGGCTTCGCAGGCGACCCGGCGCGGCTCGCCCGCGACCCGGAGCCGCGGCGCCGCCCACCACCCCCGAAGCCGCTTCGTGCTCGGAGGGCGCGGATCTGATAACGATCGAACAACACACACACACACACACCCATAGGGGGTCGTTGGGAGGAGGACTGGCTATGGGTATGGGTGCGGGTTGTCGGACCCTGGGGAACGCTCCCGTTCGAACGGGGACCCCCATCCGACAACACGCACCCATAGCCCTCTCCGACCCCCCTATGGGTATGGGTGTGTGTTGTTGGTTCGTCACGAAGTGCTTCGTGCTCCGAGGGCGCTCCAGCTGTCCCGCGGCCCCTCTTCTCGGGAGGCCCTCGCGGCGGGCCCGCAGCCCTCGCAGAGGGCGGCGGGGCCTCTCGGGAGGCCTCCTCTCGGCGGGCGGCGGGGCTCCTCAGAAGGCGGCGGGGCATCTCGGTGGGCCTGTGGAGGGCGACCAGTGGAGAGGAAGCATGCTGCCAGATGTATTTTCCAGATGTCTGAGACATGTGTTACACATGTCTTAAACATGCAAAAAAACGTGTTTCAAACATGTTTGGAACATTTTTTCCGACATTTCAAGTAGATTCGATGATAGGACTGTTGGGGTGTCCATTGCCGTGGCATCCGCACCAGTAGGCGGTGAAAAGGGGAAGGCCCCCTCGGAGAGCGGCGGGGCTTCCCTACCGCCTGCCTGCTCCCGCGTGCGTACTTTTCGCCTCCGACTCGTCCCGGCGCCAAGCCGACCGCTCGCCGGAGCCAAAGGCCGCCGCCGCCGGGAGCGCGGCCCCCGTGCGCAGGGGAGGCGGAAGAGGCGGAGGAGGAGGAGGAGGAGGAGGAGGAGGGATGGAGGAGGAGGAGGAGGAGGAGGAGGAGGAGGAGGAGGAGGAGGAGGAGGAGGAGGAGCCGTAGCCATTTTGGCTCAGGCCTTTTGACTCAAGCCATTTTGGCTCGAATTTGCAGGTTTCCGCCGCCGCGCGACATCCATCAAGGGGGCGCCCGACGCTGTTTCCTCCGCTCTGCTGTCCCACCAGTGCCATGTCTTGGTGGGGGAACCGCTATGACTCATGGCAGTCCAGCGGCCGTGGCGGCCGTGGCAAGCAGCATAAGCCCAGGGAGCAGCAGTACGTGGTGTGTGACACGTGTGGCACATGGAAGTGGTTGGATCTAGCTCGAAAGGACCGCCTGTGTGCGCGCTGTGGCACCCACCTTCTCGAGCTGACCCAGCCCCGCAGATGAAGCAGATGGTGACCAGCCTGAGGGAATTGCAGCGGCTGCCGACCCCCAGCTGCAGAAAATCCTGGGGGCGCTCAAAGGCCTCCTCGGCCCAGCGCAGATGAACACCTTCAAGAAGCAGTACCAGGCGGCCGATCAGGCCCCGCAGGACGACGCCCTCCCAGCCCTGTCGCTTGACGTCGGCTTGGCCAAGAGGGCGATGCAACGGGCTAGGTCATACCGCATCGAGTGCCAGACCAAAGTTGACAACCTCAAGCAGGAATTTGAGCAGGCGACATCTGGCGACTGCAGCGGCGCAGGATCAGACGGCCAAGCAGGTCGCGGCCAAGAAGACCGAGGAGTGGGCCCAAGTGGTTCATCCGCGCGCCGACCCCATCCTCATCGACGACGAGGGCGACCCCATCTCCGAGGCGGACCAGACCGCCCTGGACGCCTTCCTGGGGGCCCACCCGCACCTGGCGGCGAAGGTGCGCAAGCCGCCAGGGGCAGCCAAGGCGGGGCCTGCGGCAGGCCCAACCAAGGCACCGCCGCCTGCCAAAGCCTTGGCCCAGACGCCCGCAGCCCCAGCCGCCAAGGGTGCCATCGCCAACGGCCCACCGCCCAGGCGCGCCGCCCGCGCGGGCCAGGAGGAACGCAGCCGCAGCCCGCCAGGCCGAGAGGCCGAGCCGCCCGCGGAGGGTGCTCCAGGCGATGCTCCTCCTGTTCCCGGGGCTTCTCGCGACGAAGACGAGCTATTACAAGCATGTCGGCCACCCGAGCTACATGCACAGTTCTGGCTTCCCGTCCTTCTCCGAGGCAGAGGGGCAGGACAAGGGGAAAGGACATCTCGCTCTATCCTCCGCTAATATCACCACATGGAATGTGAAGGCCCAGAAGTCTCTCCAGGGCCCGCGTTTTGAAGCCGACGTTTGTGTTTTGACAGAGACGCACCTTTCTCTGGGCAAGCTCGGCCCAGTTCGCAAACGTTTCAAGAAGCCAGGATGGAAGACATGCGAGGCTCCCGCCATCGACGCCGCCAAGGGCACCCAGGCTGGGCCCACCCAGGGGGTCCGATCCCATCGATCATTGCATGCACGGCACATGGGGGCAAGTGACAGGGCCCAGCCGCTAATGCAAGGTACCGGCTGGACCGGCGCTGTCCTACATCTAGACCAAGTCCACATCCTCTTGGTTGCCGTCTGCTTTGTCTCGGGAGTACGGATGAATCGAGCCAGCAGAGACATCATCCAGGACATCGTGACCCTGATCAAAACAGTCAAGATGCCTTATCCTTGCAGGAGACGTGGAACGCCAGCCCGAACGAAATCACCAACCCCATGAAGCGGCTTTCTTGGGTCCAGGGCGAAGTGATTGTTCTGAACAAGTCGACGTGGCCATGCTCTCAAGGGCACCGCTTGCTAGACTACTTTATAGCGGGCCAGAGGCTGGCCATGAGTTTGAAGCTTCGCGCCGAGATGGAGAGGCCAAGGATGCCGCGCCTCGGACTAGCGGGCATTCTTTTCAGAGACGCAATCCATGCGGAGATCATAGCACGCATTAGGGCTCATCCACTCCCTCAAGGATTCTATGGGCCATGCCAGGGGTTGGACTACTACTGCCAATGGGCGAAGGGGGTGGGGGATGTCGATCTCAACCCTACCTGCCCAGCCTGCCCGCAGTATCGCGGCATTCGCATCTCTCGCCAAAGCGCCACAATCGGCAGAGCATTGGAGCTGATGGTCAGTCGCCCGAAGGTTGACTCCATTCCGCCGCCGAGACGCGGCCAGCGTGTGCAATTTCGCCGCGGGCCTCTCCCCCAACCACCGCCGAGGGAAGGCCTGGCCTCCAGCATCGCCGGCAAGTGGCCGGTGCTCATCGCCAGCGCGTGGCAGAGACTTCCTTGCCAATCAGCAGGGTGGCCGACAGCAGGCCGCAGCGGCGCTACAAGTCCTCGTTTGTCGGATGCACCACCCCGTCCAGTGGCCGGAGTTTGCGTCCCAGAACACCAGAGAGGTTTTAACCGAGTATCCCATTGACCCCCCCAACGGACTTGGAGGCCTGCGAGGGGGGTTCGCTATCGCCTCAGGGGGCAATTTCACAAACTCATTAGACAAGACTCACCAGTTCTTTATCAAGACAGAGATCCAGGCCCAAAAGGGTTTCCAGGGGTGGGTCGAGGAGGGCGTTCGGAAAAAAGGGGGGGACATCACACGCAGCGTCGCCGAGGGCCGAGGCCCCCCCGCCCAGGAGGAAGAGACGCCCTCGCGATTGACGGGAACGTCGCCGATGGCCCCGTCCTCCG